AAAAAATAATTTAATTAATGATCTTCTTTTAATTTTTTTTTAAATATTTTTAAAAAATGAGATTCTGTCTCACTTTGTCACCCTTGGTACAGTGCTGTAGCATCACAGCTCACAGCAACCTCCAGCTCTTGGGCTTAGGTGATTCTCTTGCCTCAGCCTCCCAAGTAGCTGACACTACAAGTACCTGCCACAATACCCAGCTATTTTTTTGTTGCAGTTTGGCCGGGGCCGGGTTCGAACCCTCCACCCTTAGTATATGGGGGTGGCGCCCTACTCACAGAGCCACAGGCGCCACCTAATTAATGATCTTTAAAATTTTTCAAGACACACCTAAGGTCTTTTCAGAGCACGCCATTCGTGACTCACGGCACACCAGATGAAAATCACTGCCCTAGAGGCTGTGTAGTACCTGGTACCTTTGTGCTCAAAATTCTCATCAAATTGAGACATCAGGCAATAGGTAGTGCATCTGTTTAGGACACACAGATATAACCACAATGGAAGGTCAGAGGAAGGAGACTCAACATTATCTGAGACCAGTTGCTTCACAGACCTTATCTTATTCACAGTTTAATTAAACAACCCTGTGAGGGAGGCGTTATTACTTACTGCCACTTTACAAGTAAGGTTAAGAAATTTGCCCAAGGTCATCAAGCTGGTCAGTGACGGAGAGAGGATTTGAGCCCAGTTCTCTCTGAGACTTCGGGGCCATGCTCCTCCGCTACCTTCCCATTGGGAAAGCTTGGCTCGCCAAAGAGATGGCACTGGAAGAAGACCTGTTACAAAGTCACGATGATAATACACATACATTGTTTCAGCTAATCCAAACAGGTAAAACTGCAGCCACAAGGAGAAAATGGCCCTGCTGCCCAGGAAGGGCTTCTTTCCTTGCCTCAGCAAGAATCCCCCAGCTCTTGAATGGCGCTGCCCATGCCCTCCCTGTCCAGAGCCCCCACCCTAAGGCACCTGCTGCCCAGGGAGGGCTTCTTCTCTGCCATCCAGAGCACTGCTTGCCACATCCAAAGCCCTGGTTACTGGGAAGCACTGACACCAGCACATGACACGTCAGTACTGGTCAGGAAGGCAAGGGGCTGCGATCACTTATCTCACCATGGCCTAAGCTGCTGACTTTCTCATTTCCTGCTGGCTCTATTTACACATCTCCCGCTTCCTCCAGTGCCCAGTACACTAGTTAATGACGCAGTCTTCCCCCTCCCCATGGTGGCCAGATGAGGAGGAAGAAAGTTCTCTGAGTCACACAGAAACTGCTTCAGTCCCAGGGTCCTTTCTTCCAAGGTGAACCAGGCATCCTCCAATGACCTTGGACCACTCAGTCTCTCAGCTTTGTTTTCCTTGTTTAAAAGGAGGGATGAAAATATTGTCTGCCCAGCTAGGGCACCAGCCACATACACCAGAGCTGGCAGGTTCAAACCCAGCCCAGGCCTGCCAAACAACAATGACAACCACAAACAAAAAATAGCTGTGTGTTGTGGTGGGCGCCTATAGTCTCAGCTACTTGGGTGGCAGAGGCAAGAGAATCGCTTAAGCCTAAGAGATTGAAGTTGCTGTAAGCTGTGACACCATGGCACTCTACCAAAGGTGACATAGTAAGACTCTGTCTCTAAAAAAAAAGAAAAGAAAATACTGTCTACCTTACCTATTTTCCTTATTAATTCACAGGGAAATGGTCAGCATGATAAAGTATATTTTTCAATTATAGAAAACGCATTAATTGGGCAGCACCTGTGGCTCAGTGGGTAGGGTGCTGGCCCCATATTCCAAGGGTGGTGGGTTCAAACCCTGCCCCGGCCAGCTAGAACAGCGGTGGCAATTGTAACAAAAGATAGCCGGGTATTGTGGCAGGCTCCTGTAGTCCCAGCTACTTGGGAGGCTGAAGCAAGAGAATCACGTAAGACCAAGAGTTGGAGGTTGCTGTAAGCTGTGATGCCACAGAACTCTACTGAGGGCGACAGAGTGAGACTCTGCCTCAAACCAAAAAAAAAGAAAAAGCATTAATCAGAAAGCACAAGGCCTACCCATGATTATTACTTCAAAGTATGGGAGGGGACAGAATTTCTCCTCACTGGGACAATGCCCAGCGCTCAGTACCCCCAGCCTGCCCTTTCTCCCTGTAACTGCACTGCAAGCCTCCTCCCGGCCCTGTTTCCCGCTCCTGGCTAGTGATGCCCGGCAGTAAGACACAGCCAGTGAGTGCTGTGGGAGGCTGCCCTCTGCTGTCCACCTGATGCCTGATCACAGCAGGCCCTCAAGCAGGGAAACTTGGACCAATATCTCCACCTGGTGGCCAACTTGACATTGTCATCAAACTGAAGTCCTTCAGCTTTGTAATGGGGAGGAGAGATCTTACCATCTGTTCCTGAGATCCATCTCCAGGATCTCCCCAGGCTAGGTCAGGGATTTTGGAGACGGCATATGTGGCCAAACCTCAAGGCATGCACAGAAAGCACCTGGGGCAAGTCTGGGAGTAGCAAGGATGAAAAGAGGATGCTAGCTATATTTACATATTCTCGTTTTTGCTTTTTTTTTTTTTTAAGAGACAGAGTCTCACTTTGTCCCCCTCGGTAGAGTGTCATGATGTCACAGCTCACAGCAACCTCACACTGTTGGGCTTAAACGATTCTTTTGCCTCAGCCTCCCAAGTAGCTGGGACTACAGGCACCTGCTATAATGCTTGGCTATTTTTTGGTTGTAGTTGTCATTGTTTGGTAGGCCTGGGCTGGGTTCGAACCCGTCAACTCTGGTGTATGTGGCCAGTGCCTTAGCCACTGAGCAACACCCACCGAGCCATCAATGTTTTATTATTCAATTCAACTAGTTATATTTATGTATTTTGTTTTAGTATTCAATGCCACACTTATCTTTCCCTGCATTTATCCCACTGTGGCCCACTCACAGTAACCTGGCCCTTGGTGTACCCAACTTATAGAAACTTCTGGCCCGGCTTGGTGCCCACAGATCAATGGTTAGGGCACCAGCCACATACACCAGGGCTGGTGGGTTTGAACCCAGCCCAGGCCTGCTAAACAACAATGACAATTACAACAAGAAAACAGCTGGGTGTTGCAGTGAGCACCTGTATTCCCAGCTACTTGGGAGGCTAAGGCAAGAGAATCACTTAAGCCCAAGAGTTTGAGGTTGCTGTGAGTTGTGATGTCATGGAACTCTACTGAGGATGACATAGTGAGACTCTGTTTAAAAAAAAAAAAAAGGAAAGGAAAGGAAAGAAACTTCTGGCCCCACAGACACCCATGGTATTTGCAGCTGATAAAAGAACAAGTAACACATTTCTGTTCCTTTTCTTTTCACTGGATCTATAGCCCCATTTGGAGACGAAATCCAACAGGTAAAAGCAGGACCATGCCAGGTGCCTCTGACTAGAGTGGTGTGGGTGTTCCCAGAGGAAAGAGAAAAGGGGAAAAGATTCCAGCACAAGCCCAAGAGCTGCAGAGAAGGAGGCAGGACCTTCTACAAGACCCTGAAACAGAGCCCCAGGAAGAGGCAATGACATAAGAGGCTTCTCAAGCCTCACAAGAGGAAGTAAACCCAAGAGACACGCACTGGAGGTCAGAGAATGGCCATGCAAAAGGAAAGACAGCAACCCGAGCTGCAGTGAGCTCCTGAGCCCTGCAGCCCAGGGCACAGGAAATGGGAGGCAGAGCCTCAGGCCCAGAGTGGGGGGCAAAGTGCCAACCTGAGCCTCTGGCAGCAGAAGGAAGCTGGAAGAGAGAGGTACTGGAGTCCCCAGAGAACAGCCATCTGTTCCAAGGGCAGCAGCTTGCCTAGACCTGGGGTGCAGGGCCCAAGTCCTGACCAACTGCCTCAGCAAGTCCCAGGCAGTTGAGGGCTGTGCCAGTCTGCTAGAGGTAGCCAGGGCTGGATACACAATCGTATTTGGGCTATTGCACAGACCCTGCCCAAAAACCTAGCAAATTAGTATACTGTGGACCACAACATAAGTCCCTGTGTACAGCTTATTCTTAAAACTTATCACTACTCCCTGCACCCCTCAAATGACATCCTCCTTGGCCTGTACCCTGAAGAATGCTCTGGGAGGTGGGGCTACAGAAGGAACTGACTGTTCCTACAGGAGGTGGAGCCCAGCACTGGGGGGACCCAGAGGAAGGCGTGTCAAGGGAGGAACTCAGACCATGCTGGGGGTCAGCACTGGAAGAGGGCTTTCTCTGCTCACTCTGACTTGGCACCTCATTCTGCACAGAACATTTCAGAAGTCAGAGAGAGGAATTCACTCAGAGAGAGGTGTCGCCTTCATCGAGGACTTGGAATCCCTTGGGCTTAAGAGGGAGTGGGGAAGCATTCCCAGAAGCATCAGCTCCTGGGCAGCTCCAGAATGTTGACTTGGACCCTGACCAAAGAGTGCCCCCAACTGCTGAATAGGCCAGGAGTCTCCTTTCTCTAACGCCTACATCCTTCCCTCTGGGGTGAGCCCAGCCCCTCCCTGAGTCGCCCCAGGGAGAGAGAGGGGAAAAAAGGGAAGAGAAGAGAGGCATTGACTACAGAGGAAGGAAAAGGAAGCAGAGCAGAGGAGGGAGGAGAGAGGCCACACAGGAGTGGGTGACAGAGGAGAGAGGAGAGGGCAGGTCTAGGGCAGGCCCAAGGCAGGAGGATATCTAGAGAGGGCAGGCCGAGCACCCCAAGGGGCGCTCCAAGAGCAGGCGGGGCGGGGAGCCGAGGGGGCGGGCCGGCCATGTCCCACGGGACCTACTATGAGTGTGAGCCCCGGGGCACCCAGCAGCCACTGGAGTTCTCAGGGGCCCAAGCTGGGCCTGGGGAACTGGGGGACATGTGTGAGCACGAGGCCTCCATCGACCTCTCCGCCTACATCGAGTCTGGGGAGGAACAGCTCCTTTCTGACCTCTTTGCTGTGAAGCCTTCCCCTGAGGCCAGAGGCCTAAAGGGCCCGGGAACCCCTGCCTTTCCCCACTACCTGCCTCCTGATCCACGACCCTTCTCCTACCCACCTCATACCTTCGGCCCAGAGAGGAAGGCGCTGGGGCCTGGCATCTACAGCAGCCCGGGAAGCTACGACCCCAGGGCTGTGGCAGTGAAGGAGGAGCCTCGGGGGCCAGAAGGCAGCCGAGGTGCCAGCAGAGGTGGCTATAATCCCCTGCAGTACCAAGTGGCCCACTGTGGGCAGACAGCCATGCACCTGCCCCCAGCCCTGGCAGCACCCGGCCAGCCTCTGCGCGTTCTCAAGGTAAGAGCAGGTCAGTTTTCTTCCCTCCTGCCCAGGGTCTGGAGAGAGGCCGCTTTGGTTGGGGGAAAGGAGCGCCCTGCTTAGGCCAGGTCTGTGTGTGGTGTGGAATTTACCCCCTCCCCAAAGTCCTCTGTGCTCACTACCGGACCATCATCCCCCTTTCTTCCTTACTCTCACTCAGCCCAGCACATTCCGAAGCCCTTGTGGCCAGCTGACCTACCTATGCCAGGCCACCCACTTAGCTCCTCCGCTGCCCACCATGCCCCCTCCTTGTTTCTTTGCTGCTCGCCTCTAGAAGAGGAAATGCTTGCTGACGGTAGCATGGGCGACTCAAGATATTTTGAAGGACAGTGTCTGCAGAGAGTGCCAGAATAGGAAAGGGAGTTTTAGTCTTAAGCAGAAGACCTGGGTGTCTAGGTCAACATCTATCCCAGAGGCAGGACAATGACAGTTTGAACTGGAAGACCCGAACTTGGGGCATACTGGAAGCCCCAAGTATGCCCTGGCTGCTGCTGTTCCTGTCGCACCTCCACTCTGCCTCCGCCAGCCCTGACCTCTCTGTCTCTCTGTGCTTTCCCCTCAGGCCCCTTTGGCCACAGCCACAGCCCCCTGCAGTCCCCTTCTCAAGGCGCCCTCACCAGCTGGCCCCTTGCATAAGGGCAAGAAGGCAGTTAACAAAGACAGCCTGGAGTATCGGCTGCGGCGAGAGCGCAATAACATCGCCGTGCGCAAGAGCCGGGACAAGGCCAAGAGGCGCATCCTGGAGACGCAGCAGAAGGTGCTGGAGTACATGGCAGAGAACGAGCGCCTCCGCAGCCGCGTGGAGCAGCTTACCCAGGAGCTGGACACCCTTCGCAACCTCTTCCGCCAGATACCTGAGGCAGCCAACCTCATCAAGGGCGTTGGGGGCTGCAGCTGAACTTGGCTGGCGGACTGTAGGCCCCAGGGTCTCTGGGCCAACCTGACCCTGGGAACCCCCACCCAGAGCCCTTTACAGGCTGAGCCTGAGACATGGACATGAGACCATGAGACCATGGACAAATGGCAGCAGAGTGCAAAGGGAGGGCAGGACCCAGAGTAATAATTCTGTGGCTGAATAAAATTGCACTGTGACTCAGTGCTGGAGCTGTTTGCTGGGCCTGGGCCAAGGGGTGTGTGTGTCTGTCTGTCTGTCGTGGAGGACCCCAAGGGCCGGGAAGGCTGGGTCTAATACTTCTTGTTTCCACACCCAGAGAAGCATTCGGGAATACAGGTGTGCTGCCGCCCACAGCCCTTCCCCAGCACGCCATGCAGCCTGGCCATGTGTCTGTCACTCCACTCTCCCCATACATCCTCATCACCCACTTCCATGAGCTGAAGGCACACTTCCACCCCCCCATCCCAGCACCTGGAGCAGCCTCTGGACACAGTTCTAACAAAGATCTGTGGCTTGTAGGGAGAACCCGCACCACACAGTCCCTTGTGTCCAGGCCTGCTCTCTCTCACCTTGAAGAACAGGTCAGGGAGCTCCTCTCCCAGGTGGCCAAGGGAAAGTTCTCGATGGCTCTGCCATATTCACAATCCCCCAGATCTTGATCCAGCACTTTATCTCTGCTCCCCAATTTCATAGCCTCAGTCTACTAGATGGACAGACACACACACACACTTGTCCCACCCACACTTCCATCTTTGTCCCTCATCCCCTGGGGATCTGGTCTCTTAAGCTTGACAGTCTGAGTGTTTGAGAGAAGAATAAGTTGAGAAAGGCCCAGTGAAACCCCATGTTGTAAGAGCCTTGATTTGAATCTTCCTCTGAGACTCACTAGCTATGTGAACATAAGCCAGTTACTTCTCCTTTCTGTGCCTCAGTTTCCTCATCTACAAAATGGGAGTAATATTAGTAACCACCTTATAGTGTTGTTATATTCATAGAAAAATAGGACTAGCACATGATAGGCATGAATATATGTTATGATTTCATTTTGCTAGATATTGAAAGGGCCTCAGAGATCTCATCTAAACTCTTCGTTTTCAGCTCGGCGCCTGTGGCTCAAGCGGCTAAGGTGCCAGCCACATACACCTGAGCTGGCAGGTTCAAATCCAGCCCAGGCCTGCCAAACAACAATGATGGCTGCAACCAAAAAATAGCCAGGCTCGTTGTGGCAGGCTACTGTAGTCCCAGCTACTTGGGAGGCAGAGGTAGAAGAATTGCTTAAGCCCAGGAGTTGGAGGTTGCTGTGAGCTGTGATGCCACAGCACTGTACCCAGGGTGACAGCTTGAGGCTCTGTCTCAAAAAATAAAATAAACTCTTCGTTCTGCAGATGAGGAAACTGAGGCCTCAGAGAGGGGAAGGGGCTTACCCGGAGTCACACACCTGTTTAGAGGCAGAACCAAAGTTAGCTCCACAAAATCACAGACCTTGAGAGTTGCTGGATTAGACCTCAAGAGATCATCTGGTGGGCTTTGTCCTCACACAAGCAAGATAGTGTGAGCCACATTTCATAGATAAGCAATTGAGGGCCAGAGAGGATAAGAGACATCTTCTGAAGCTCACGCAGTCCTTGTGCTGTCTCGGCACAGGGTACCTGCCTCTCTGTTTCAGGCTACACCCTCTGTTCAGAGTACAAATACAGCAAAAGAGGGTACCTGAATCACAAGTAATTATAAAGGCCAGGAGCAGTGGCTCACACCTGTCATCCTAGCACTGGGGGAGGCCAAGGCAGGAGGATCCTTTGCGCTCAGGAGTTTGAGACCAGCCTGAGCAAGAGTAAGACTCTGTCTCTACTAAAAGTATAAAAATTAGCAGGGCATGGTGGTGCATACCTGTAGCCCCAGCTACTTGGGAGGCTAAGGCAGGAGGATCACTTGAACCCAGGAGTTTGAGATTATAGTAAGCTATGATCATGCCACTGCACTCTAGCCAGGGTGACAAAGCAAGACTCTATCTCAAAAAAAAAAAAAAGTAATGATGATTTTCTTCACAGTGTCAGAGGCCCAAGGACAGCCTAAGCATCAAGAAATACATTTCTAGGCCAGGCATAGTGGCTCATGTCTGTAATCCTAGCACTCTGGGAGGCCGAAGCAGGTGAATTACTTGAGCTCATAGGTTCAAGACTAGCCTGAGCAAGAGTGAGACCCTATCTCTAAAAATAGCCAGGTGTTGTGGCAGGACTACAGGTCCCAGCTACTCAGGAGGTTGAGGCAAGAAAATCGCTTGAGCCCAATAGTTTGAGGTTACTATGAGTTATGATGCCACAACACTCTACAAGAAAGACAAAGTAAGACTCTGTCTCAAAAAACCAAAGAAAAAAATTTCTGAGAGGAAAAGAGACTGGTATCTGGATCATCCTGGTCTCCCCTTCCCCAAGCTCCCACTTCTGCACTTGCCCAGTGGTATAGCACCATGTCTCTGGCACCTGTGTGCTCCATGTCGCCATGTTTGTCTCACCCTGGAAACAGGCCCAACTCTGCCTGTGTGTCTCTCAGGCACTGTCCCTCCTTCCTTCATGTCCTGAGGCCCCTGCCCACATCTAAGCCTTCAGTAGAGGAACTGATGAGAGACTCCTGAGTCTGGAAGGAGGAGGTGCCAGTGGCTTTGGGTGCCTGGGAGAATCCATGTACCTTCCTTTCAGCCCAGAGGGATGGGTTGCATAAGGGGGGTTTGTACAGAACACGGTAAGTGACTCAACCTCCAGATTTCCTCCTCTCAGCTCCACTGCCCTTTGACTTATTTTCAAGGTTCTGGGTGATGGGACCTGGGTTGCTTTAGCATCAACCACAGATTCTTTCCCACAGCCCCCTCCAACCCATCAGCCCCTCAGAGCCAATTCTAGTGGAGCCTTTCCCCATCTCCCCAGTGTCATCCCAGTGTGATGTGGAGCAGCTGAGCACATCCCAATCCTTTATGTCACATCATATACCAGGGAGATGACATTCAGGTGGAAAAAGCACTTTGAGAAGGGGGCTTCCAACCAGACCTCAGATGGTTTGGACCAAAGCAATTATTCAAGGAGTATTTGTTGAGCACCTTTTCTGTGAATAAGACAAGTTCTGAGCTGAGGAAGTAGGAAGAAAAAATCAGTAAACAAGTATACTGGGTGTCTTCTTTTGTCCCTGCAGATGCCCTCTGTGCCCTTTATCACTCTTCTCAGTTCCTACCCTGGGGGTGGGGGTGAGGGTGGCAGGAGGTCTCTCCGTGATTGCCCTGTCCTCCCAGCCCCTGGGAGGTGGTAATGGCTCCTCTGCTGGGCTAGCACCCCCACAACACACCTTCATTAAATTATCTTAATTATTCCATCTGTATATGCCCATTGGGAAAACCTAACAAATAAACAGGTAGAGAGGCTATATTAGCGGGGTGCTCAAGGGGTCATCTCTCTGAAGAAGTAAGTTTAAGTTGAAAACTAAAAACAAGTGAAGGAGGCAGATATGTCATTGAAGGGAAGGCTGAGCAGAGGGAAGAGCAAATGCAAAAGCCCTGGGGTGTCTGGGTGGTTGAGAAGAAGAAAGGAAGCCAAGAATGGCTGGATGCATGGAGGGAAGGAAGAAGAGGATACGCAGGAAATAATGTGCTCCCCCTACTCCAGAACAGAGTCACAAATGACTCTCTTCGTTCCTTCTGCCAAGAAGGTCAGTGCCTGAGAAGCTGGAGGTGGGAAGACAGAACAGGATCATCTCTGCCCCTGGAATCACCTTCGCACCCAGTCCCCTACCTCTCACCCAGGAAAGGCAGTGAGCCAAACCCTGCCTGAGAAAGGCACCAGGACTAGGGACTCCATAACTTTTGAAACCAGCAAACCAAAGTTTGAACAGCACCACACACATTGCTTTTGCTTAGAATCTATAGCTCAGGCCTTCTTTCCCTCCTTGAGCAGAATTAGGGAGCAGGATGAGAGTTCTGAGTTGAGAAACAGGATCTCAGGCCACAGGGAAGCTGCAGAGGAGAAGCAGGGCCCCGGGGAGTACTGTGAGGAGGGAGGAAGCTGCCCAAGGTGAGTCTGCCAAGGTCAGACTTGTGAAAGCCGCCCCCCTGCTCCGTGCACACCTCCCCACCCCCCCCACCCCCAGATTGCCACATGCCTGGGCCCCTAGGGCCCCCATCCCAATGTTGCAAGATCCCGGTTGGGGTTGTGGGGTGGAAAGGGGCCTCTTCACCTCCGCTCTACCCTGCCCCAAGCCAGTGTGGGGACTACAAGGTGGAGGGGCTATATAGGAGATGCTGAGGCAACAGTAGACAGGACTGGCTGGGGGCCATGTATATCCCATCACCCTCCCAGCCCCCAGTGGGCAGACCCCTCCTCTCCAGACTCAGCACAGGCTGCTCCAAATTGGAAGTGGTCTAACCCAGACAGGACTCCTGGTTGGCCTCCCTCAGCTCCTCCCATAAGCAGGCCTAGCCTGGCCTCAGAAGAACCTCAATAGCACACGAAGAGAAGAGCACATGGGGGTTTTCAGAGGAAATTGGCTGCAACTTGACTTCATCAAAGTGGCCATCAATTCTGACTTCAGGGAGCAGTGGAAGGGTCCTAGGACCTGGGAAGCGAGTCAGGCTTCCTAACAGGGAGAGATCCACCCACACAGCTGTGGCCTCTCACTTCTCTTTTATATTTTTTATTTGATTGTTTGTTTTTTTTTTTTTTTTGAAACAAGTGTCATTCTGTCATCCAGGCTAGAGTGCCGTGGTGTTGGTCTAGCTCACAGCAACTTCAAACTCCTGGGTTCAAGTGACCCTCCTGTTTTAGCCTCCTTAGTAGTTGGGACTACAAGTGGCCATTGTAATACCCAGCTAATTTTTTTCTATTTTTAGTAGAGATGGTGTCTGCCTCTTGTTCAGGCTGGTCTGACCTCAAGCAAACCTCCTGCCTCAGTGTCCCAGAGTGCTAGGATTATAAGTGTAAGCCACTGCACCCAGCCCTCACTTATCTTTTAGAAAGTGACAGGCTTTGAGGTAGGTCGAGGCAAAGCATATACAGAAAAGGGATCCATCCTCTATACCCTACGAGCTAAGCTTCAAACTGTCCAACCCCTGACCTAGGGCTGTCACTCCCAGCCAAAGCATCCAACCCTGCCGCAATCGGGACGGTTTGCAAAACGCCTGCTGGCTCCCGCTTTGTCACCATCTGAGGTTAGAACTGT